TCTTTCATGATGGTTTATTTTAGAAAGTGCACTTTGTAATAATTTGAAATGAAAAGTTTTACTTTAAAAGTACATTTTAATCATTATGATTAACCTTTTGTCATGCTTTACAGAAATACATTTACTTTGTGCTGAGAAACATGCTAAAACTCGTATACTGAAAGTACTTGATTGTCATTTTAACTACAGTATTATTCGATATCGCATTAAAAGTTAATATATTTTAAATGTACTAAATTACAACCTCATTCCACATGTGTACATACAAATATATGACATTAAGGTATACTTTATTTTAGTTTAACTGCATTTAACATACATTTAAACTGTAACAAATTTTCATTTAATTGCATCAAATATGTCCACGGTTAAGTGTATGAAAACATTACATTCAGTTCACACTTATAGTTAAGCCAAAAATTAAAACTTGAAATGAAAAAGCAGCATGTCTTGAAAGAAACAAATCTATCATAAAGGCATTTTAACTTCAAACTCTCACTTCTGGCAAAAATATTAATCCATAATAATGCTTCCTTCAGTGAAAAAGTCCATCCCCTGTTGTACTCTTACATCAAAATCCACTGTTATATTTGTTTAGCGCTGTTTGTTTTCATTTGTAAACGGTGCTTGACCTGCATATTTCTTTCTTGATTCAGATGAGATGACTTTTTCACTGGAAAAAGCAATTTTATGGATAGAGGACTCGTACTTTAATGTCTTAATGATGGATTTGTTTCTTACAAACACAGCTTTTCGCTTCACGACACATTAATCGATGAACTGATGTAGTGTAGATTACTTGTGGATTTTTGTGATGTTTTTATCAGCTGTTTGGGTTCTCATTCTGACGGCACCCATTCACTCAATTCAAATTCCCAATCTGCAAATTTTCATTTTTAGGTGAGCTATTCCTTTAAGAATGTTATTTCAGTAATAACTACTCTTTTTAAAAGTATTTTTCACAAGGGTATAGCTGATATTTACCAGTTGCCTCTTTAAAATGTATTATACACTTCAAAGCCCAAAACAAATGTATACTTTTCCCTGAGTGCACATTCATCCTCTTTTCAGTTAGCTGTGGAGATTATTCGAGTGTCTTTGTTCCTCAAACGACAAACATTTTACTAGGCCAGAGAAACAGAGCAAAACACTTTACAACCAAGCTGAAACGTAACTATTTGCGTCAGCGAGACTGATTGTATGGGTTGTCTGGGTATGCAGTGTTCTGCTCGAGCGGATCTGCATGGGTTCAGGCAAGTCAGTTTTTGCATTATTAGAAGCTGTTCAGAGCCTGATAACACCTGTCTCTGACCTGTAATAATGTAACATCTGAAACAAATGTCATGTATGTCAACAAAGTTATGCGTGCGTGGCATTTCTAGCTTTAGTTCATGTAGTGCACTGATGCACATAAGATGTAAGTGAAGTTTTATGGAGTTGCATGTGTGTTTCGTACCATATAAACATGTAACTAACTAAGCTTGATTGATTGCACAGAGACTACTGGAAGAGAGCTGAACTGGATGATGACATCACTGAATCATCAATAAACTGACTTTAGCTGGAAAATGACTCTGTTATTGTCTTCTATTATTGACCAACTATTTTCCTGTTTGACACTGTCAAGCTGCTTTGACACAATCAGTATTGTATAAAGCGCTATATAAATAAAGGTGACTTGACTAGACTAAACCATGTCAGCGGTCAGGTTTATTGGTACCTGGTTGGGATCTGGAAGTTGGCCTCTCGGTCGAGTCTGTACGCCACCTGGAGGGATGTGGATCCTTCTACCTTTCTGACGCCCCTCATGGGGATGACATCCAACTGAAACTGTGTGATCAGATCGAACCCTGCCACACACAAATACACACTTTAAATACTCTTAAAATCCTAAAGCAAGAAATATGAATTCTTTGTGCACACTGCATATAAATCCAATTTGTTTTTCCAGATAAGATCTTTCGGACTGTATACAGTGTCATTTTGTATGAAAGACAGTTCAGACTGTCCAAATCTGAACCAAAATATTGCTGTTTAGACAAACAAAAAAATATATTCAAATTTAATTAAAAATGTCAAAATATCAGATTTTTTTTCATAAAGCCTACCACCTAATAACAAAAACAAAACAAAACAAACAAACAAATATACAACAAATGTCAAAATGTCAAAATATATTAAAGCCTAAAACCTAATAATTTATGGAATACAAAAAAATTAAATAAATAAAGTGTCAAAACAACAAACAACAAAACAAATAGTCAAAATGGAATTAAAAAAATATATATATATAATCTAAAAATATCTCAAATCTAATAATTTACTAAATAAATAAAAAATAAAAACAATTAAAAAATGTTAATTGTCTACCCAATACAATGCAATTTACAAGAAATCTCATTTGATCCTGATTATATCCAAATTGTAATACAAATTCTGTTAGCATTTGTGAGAAATTCATGCAATCACAATCATTTAAAGCAAAATTAATATGCATTCATGCACATATCCAGTCCAAAAACATGCAGTAGATCTCTTTACATCTGTTTACTTCAGTAATTGCATTTGAACTTGCTTACTCCCCGTTTCCAGTCTGTGCACAGAGCAGCACATGTTTGTGATTTGAGGTTGCACCCTCCGCATTATTTTTTAAAAGCCAAGGAGTCGCAACCAATTAAGATCTTGCTGAGTTAGAAGTGTTTCCACTGCAGAAATTGGCTGGCCAGAGACCAAAGTTTTATTGGCCTCGTTTGAGATCTAAAGATGTCTTAAAACAAGGTGACTATCAGCTTCAGCATCTTTACCTAATAAAACAGTGTTGTGCAGCTGCATGTCCTGCATACAGAAAACTACTATTTATAGGTAAACAATGCCTGAATGAAGAGTGTTTTTAATGATAACAATGCATAAAGGATGGTGGTAAAATTTATACTAACAGTCATGAGAAGTGCTCTAGTGTGCAGATTTATTTATTTATTTTAAATAAAGGAGCTGGACCTCTTTTAGATAACCAAGAGGTTTCAATATATGGGTATGTGTACTGCATATATACTGTATATATGCAATTATATATATCATGCAATTTGTATAAAACATGCAATCCTCAAAAGTCTGCATTTCATGTTGAAAACAGTTCACATTATGTTTTTCAGAGTGGCTCAATTTTACCTGGAAGGTCATCTTGTCCATTCTTCATGGGTGGGCACACTGTGTCGCCATCTAATCTGTTCAAATCCAGCTCTGAAAAATTCATAAGTGACATGAGTGTCATTTCAGGCCTGTCTGCAGCGACAGATCACCAGAGAATACGCTCAGATTGTTAAAGACGTGACATTCATCTCACTCATAACAGAAGGCAAATAGTCCCACAAACACATATCTTTTACAACATAAAAATATTAATAATCTGTCATTAATTTTAGTAGTCAAATGAAATGGTAAAATATCTGATATAATTGTATATTTAATATTTAATTATAAAATGATTCTTAAATATTATATTTGAATCATAATTTAATTATATATATCTAAAATAATTTTTAAATATTAAAATATAAAATTATATTAAAGTTTAAAATAATGTCAAGCATACTTAGAATAGAGGTAGCATACAGCAAATTAGATATGTTTAATTACTACAAGGAAAACTATTGAAAAATAAATAAATAAACAAATGGGAAACAAATAGATTCATATGAAAATATGAAATCAATATTTGATTTTGCATGAATTATTTAAATTTAAATAAAATACTTAAGCACTTTTCAAATTTATTTGCATATTACTATTTTCTTTATGTTTATGCAAATCCATTCAGCGCGCTCAATCTGTATGATTTTCTAAACAAAAGAGGGAGTCATAATCAGCGCCAGCATCATTTTAAAGCCATACAGTATGTGCACAGTTGAGCATAAGATGTGATAAATGTGTCATAATTACAGTGAGGAAGTATATTCTGGAATTATGGACGTACTGTCAGTGTACATGTGTGGGCCTGCAGGACAGCTTTCAGAAGGTCAGACTGACAGATACAGTCATCTGTGCTCATTTGTATTAATCTAATGTAAGTGCACGATGGGAAAACAAACGTGACACTCCATCCATCACAAGGACAGTTTCCTCCCATGAACATTAGATCCTATGATGGAGAACATCAGCTCTCATTCCTTTCAATAGTTTACCATTTGACAAGCTGATGCACCCAAAAATAACCCGAGAATGGACTTTAGCTGTTGTTTTCATATATATGAATTGTCTATTAAAGAAAAACTGAAAAATTCAATACAGTGTTATTTTAGTACAGTTGATATATTTTAATTTCAATGATCTATAATTTAAATTATAGTTTTTGTTTAATATTTTGAATTAGATTTTTTTAAATTAAATTAAATTTTAATTTTAAATGAAAATATAAGCTAAAGTTTTAGTAATGTTAGTAATTTTGTTGTGCGTTTTAGTCATTTTTATTAGGTAATTAAATATATCTCTATATAGTTTTTTATTTGGTTTTAATTTGTAATTTTAGTTGATTTGTTTTTTGTTATTTTTGAACTTCAATGTAAATTAAATGAAAATGATGCCCTAAAATACATAAAATATTTTATTTAATGCTTATTTTAAGTAATACAATAATATTATTATGTAATATTTTTTATGGTTTTAGATTTAGTTAATGATAATAACCCTGACTTAAGATGCTATAATATTTGTTTGGTTCCACTGTTCTGTGACCTAAAACAAGATGCTAAAAAACAAAACAAAGCAAAAAAACAACAAATGATAAAAATAAAAATAAAACATGACTACTCAAAAATGTTTCCAGAATGCTCAAAATATTCTGTATTTCTTAACTTTAATCACTTCATAATTCCCACAATCTCCTAAAGCCCTCTGTCATAAATGTACCATGATATTACCATGCATTTTGAACAATACCATGATGATAATACTATGCTATTATTTTAAGTGGTATTCGTACAGTGCTGCAGTAGATTTCAAAAGTACCACGGTATTTCCATCTGGCTTTACACAGGTAAAGTATGAACAGACACACTGACATCTGGAACTTCTCGAAGGTCTGAAATAAACAGGCATTAGCGAGAGGTACCAGGGTAAAAAAGGCATTCTCCTGTGTTTTTACAGTGCTGTTTATCCGGGCACAGAGCTGCGTGAGAGCGCTTTAAACCCTCATATCCTCTTGTGTCATTTTAAAACCACCCATTAGCACAAATGAGGGACTAAGCCGAGACTGAAGCCACAGTGTTCGTGCAGTCGCTTACACACACGTTAATACAAGCTTGTAGACATGTACAGTGATTCAATGAGGACCACACACTGATGTCAAAACAAAACAACTGAAAAGGTCACATGACAGGGGTTAAATCACTAGAGGTTGGTTAGGTGCTGTATTGTTATCGCTAGGCGCTATATTCGACTGATTTAACCAAGTATATCAAGAGTCGTGTTACTATTTTTATTTAAAATGAAAGTACAGTATATTTACAAGCATTTGGGTTTATTTAAACATTGCTTTATTAGCGTTCAGTAAAATACAGACATAATGTGTGATGCATGTAATTAAAGTAATAGTTTAAGAATGAAGATTTGCTGAAATTTTCCCATTTAAGATGTAGATGAGTTTATTTTTTCATCTGAACAGATTTGGAGAAATGTAGCATTTCATCACTCGCTCACCAATGGCTCCTCTGCAGTGAATGGGTGCCGTCAGAATGACAGTCCAAACAGTTGATACAAACATCACAAGTAATCCACACCACTCCAGTCCATCAATTACCATCTTGTGAAAAGCTGTGGGTTTGTAAGAAACAAATCCGTCATGAAGACTTTCACTTTAAACTGTAATTTCTGGCTAATAGTCCTCTGCCCAAAATATTGCTTTCTCCAGTGAAAAAGTCATCATCTAAACCAGGAGAGAAATATTTTAACACTGTTAACAAGCAGAAGCAGTCCAAAACAGTTCTAAACAAATATGTGGGTGTATTAGATGTGAGAGGACAAAAGGAGATGAACTTTTTTTCCATTGGAGGAAGATGTATTATGGATTATGGAACTGCATTTTGACCAGAAGCAACAGTTTGAAGTTAAAATATGTTAACTGATGAACGTGGATAACCTGTGGATTTTTGTGATGTTTGTATCAGCTGTTTGGACTCTCATTCTGACGGCACCCATTCACTGCAGAGGATCCATTGGTGAGCAAGTGATGCAATGCTAAATTTCTCTAAATCTGTTCAGATGAAGAAACAAACTCATCTACATTTTGTATGGACAGAGTGAGAGTACAATGCAGTTGTCAAGGTTGAAATATTTTTTTTGTTTAAAATGTCTGCTGAATGACTAATCAGGTTATTAATTAATTAAAAAATCAGTTTTATTGATTCCTCATATCCAGCTGAGATGCATTATTGCCTGACAAACCACAACAATGACTAAAAAAACAGGACAGAGAAAGGCATTATGTAATGAGTAGCATTGCAATTGCATTTTAACAGTTTAAATCTCTGGGACAACAAACATTCTTTTGAGAAGATACTCACGAGCGAGAGCTGGTGCACAGAGCAACATGAAGACAATCAAACGTGTTAAACATCCCGCCAGCGTCCGTCGCCAGACCCAGCTCCTGCCAGAGACACACACCATTTAGACTCACAAAACAACATCATGTAAAACTAACAGAGGTCGTCAAATATTCAGCACTGAGGGAGAAATAATGCAAAAGATGAATTTGCAAAAATATTATTCTGAATATTGGTGAGACTTGTCTAGGGAAGGTTTGACTCTGGGTTTTCTGAATCGAAATTGATGAAATCCCAGCATACACGCTCCCGATAAATATTTGTTATTAAGCATCAACATTCACAGAACACTGTTATTTTTAACTAAAGCAAGCGGCTGCTGCGTGCATGGTTTGACAGAATGACAGCAAAGAGTGCTGCATTTATAATCTCTAAAAGACATCTCAGTTCATCGCAATCTCACAAATCTCTGTTATAACACAATAAATGCATAATTAACCTTTCATGATGTCTACAGTTCGTGTGTTATAATGAGAGGATTCGTGATTATAAAACACTGCATTCTGTCAGCAATGTAACGCGGCATATTATAGTACAGTTTTACCAACTGCACACACACATACAGTATATATATATATATATATAAATACGCACACACACAAAACTTGGACAGAAAACTATCTCTAGACATCAAGATGTTACTTTGTGATCATAGTTAGTTCGGCAAACACTTCAAAATGTTATTTTCAAGGACTACAGGTTAAAGATGCACTATCATAAAATAAGTAAATAAATAAAAAACTTTGAACATGAGCCATGGGAGTACTACAGTATCATTTAACTAGATAATATGGTAATCATTTAGTCCCAATATTCACTATATACTATATATATCATCTGAGACTGTCTGATACTGCAGGTTTTGTGGGATTCTCTCTGTGTCTCATACAGTAGTGGGTGAAGCTCAGATTAGGAGGCAGGGTTATCTTAATCTTGAATTTGGTCCTGCTGACACACTCGTAATCCATGCGGGGAGGAATATCTCCTCCCACTCACAGCCGTCATCAGGCACAAACGTATGAGGGAACACTCCGGAAATCACAAGCTGCTGATTGATCATAGCATAAGAGATGTGCGATCAGCAACAGCGTAAAAATACCAAAAACTGAGGAGGCACTCGGAGCGATTTATACAACATCTCACTCACTCAACATGAGCTTTAAAGAACAGATATCGTATATTTCAATAATGGGTTTAAATTTTGAATTTGCACTCAGAATTAGCTATACATTTATTTGTGATACGCTTTGTTCCTTCCTTATACTCTTATGCTCATAAACGGGTAAAAATAATTACAAAGAAAAAACGCAGAGTAAATGTCCTTACAAAACTGTGGCAGTTACAAATCAGATGGCAATATCATGGTACTTGTCCAAAAGTCCATTAACAAAAAACATGGTAGTACCATGGTACTTATTTGGAAGTGCTATATGAATATGGTTTGTAGATAATTTTAGGGGTATACCATTTATTAATGTTCTGTGCAGGGTTCCCAAACATTTTGACCATAGCATTTACATAACTCTATTCTAAGTATTAAAAAAAAAAAACTTTATAGAGCATTTCACTCGCAAAAAAGCGATTTCTAATATTTATATTTTATTTATAATTTATATATATATATACATACACACACACACATACACATATATATATATATATAGTCTTTCACAAGATGATTCATTGAGAAGCTAACATGTGGCCTCATGTGTTCAACTTTTTCATACTGCAAACACAAACACTGAAATATGGAGAATATAATCATATTTGTGTTGGGATGTGTGATTTTCCCTGCTAGGCAACTGCTGTTTTCCTGAGCAAACCAACTGCTGTCTTTCATCCAGATGTTGAGGGAAGTTCCTCCTCAACTTTCATCTAAACTATCATTACAAAGGCTCTTAGAAGAACAGAAAATCTTAAATGAAAAGTTTGTGATGGCGGAAGCATTTTATCTTTATGGCACAAACATAGAAGAACCTGCCTTGAAAACTCAAACATAAAAACACCAATAGAAAAACACAAAATGCAGTTAAGGCTCGATTTAGGTCCTAAATAAGTGTATTACACACCTAATGCACTAAAAAGGGTGAAGCTGTTTTAAATTCTATGCCAAATTATGTTCCTCACTGCCTGTTTTAAAAACACTCAGAGCTCAACAAAGGGTCAAAGCAACTCATCAAAGGGAAATATTCCCAAAAATAGTCACACCAAGGTGTTGTAAGATCTTTTCCATGTTTTTCATAAGGGGTTTGAGATCTTACCTGCTCATGCTGAGGAGAGGAGTCATTTTTTCTGTCTCTCAACAGGGATGTGAGAGTCTAAATGGATGCAGAAGTTTTGTCCTTTGGCCCAGAGATGCGTCGTCCCCCTCCAGTCTGTCTTCAGTGGTGCCCACGGGCCTCTCTGACTGAAGACGACCTGTGCAGGAGATGCCAAACTTTTGGGACACATTAAGGGTTTTTTGCAAGGGCGACCTGGCTTGGTTCCTGGCGTCCAATTGGCTGGAAGAGCTCTGAGGGGTGGTGGCAAGGCTTTTTTACGACTGATGTTTAAGGGAGATGTTGAGCCTCGGGCGTTACGAGCACCTTTTCTCATTTCTGCACAGGAGCTAATAACACATGTTGAGCGGCAGTAATTCTGCTAATGGGAAGCCCTACTGCAGGGAGAGCCTGTCATAAACACAGTTAGATTGTGTGTATATGACGCTGGTTAAAAAAAATACCACATTCAACATCCCACCTGGTTGACAACCATTATTCACGAATCATACTTAAATTCTGGGTTATCATAAATAAATCTGGGCTGATTGCACTAAGGTTGCATATGCAGGTAGAGTAGTTGATGCAAAATCTGGGAAGGTAGTGTACTTTAACAACGCTTCAAAAACCAAAGTGTCTCCAGGTAGACAGGCACTGCTGCAATTCCTAGTGTAGTGATTCTTCACTTTTTTTTTTATAAGGGGAAATCTGAAGAAAGGGTTTAAAATGGTAAAATGTTTTAAAAATAAATTAAAAAAAGTAAAAATTGAAATATATATATATATATATATATATTTCAATTTTTACTTTTTTTAATTTATTTTTAAAACATTTTACCAAGTTTAAAAAACAAAAGAAGAAAAAAAAATGGCATAATGGTAAGAAATAAAATTAAAGCCAGGTAGCTAAAAGCATAAACAACTGCATATATTTTTATTTGTATACATTCAAATAAGCAAATGTGAGCATTGTTTGTCCATGCAAAACTCTCCGTAAATTTCCGGAAACATTCCAAAAGTTAAAAAAAACATTCTGGAATGTTTCCGTAAATATTCCACCTCTTTGCAACCCTTCTACTAGGCCAAACTATTCTAGATATTCTATGATTTAAATCTAAGTATATGGCTTTTCACTGTTTTTATTACAACTCACAAAACACATAAGTTCAAATGCACAATATGATGTATAAAACATAAACTTGCCTTGGCAACCACCATTGATTAACCAAACTGCCAAAATGTCTCTATATTTTAGACATTATAATCACATAGTAATAATCGCTTTAATGAGCTTCTGCCTAAAATTAATTCATTAGCTAGCTGTATGACTCTATTATCTTGAACTGTTAATTTGTGAAATGAACATTACTTGGACACATTCACTTCTGATAACAGATCACTCTAAATTGTAATGCAGACACATGCATTAGCATTTTCTGTAAAGCTGCTTTGAAATGATGCATATTGTGAAAGCACTATACAAATAAATTTGAATTGAATTAACCAAGATATCTAATAAAAAAAATACAAGCAGAACTAAGTGTTGAAATTCCGTGTGGAGTTTTCTGAAGAATTCAGTGGGCGCAGGTTTCTGGTCGGAGCCACTGATGACTAATGCTGAAGGATGTTGAGAGAAATCTGTCAGATGGGAGATATTGCATAACAAACCCCAAGTTATGCCCAAAAGGGTGTTTAAACAACAAAAGCAGCAAAAAATTAGACCCAAAAAGCTGAGGGATCAGAAAAGCAGCAGCAGTGCCAATCTTCCTCAGCAAATGGTGACTAACTATGAGGGATGTTGAGGACTAACTATGAGGGATGTTGATCTAACAGATGGAAAATACTGCATAATAAACCAATAAAGCGTTTGTATGTTTATATTAGATTAGTCAGACTTGTTTTTGCTTTACTGTCCTTATTGGATTATAAAGAAAAATACTATTTAATAATAGATGAGACACAGCAGAGTGCTCTCAAAAGAAAAGGAGATTGTAAAGTCGCTGTAAAACGACTGTGAAGTCGATCTGTGTCGGCTTACACGAGCTCCCTCACTATTAAGGTATTGCCTTGCAGCTTCGCCCTCATCAGAGGAGGATTCTGGGGAAGGAAATACTAATGACATCAAAACAGGTCTATGACAGTAACTTGCTCACAGGCATGTCAGCCACAATGACTTCTGTTACATCAAATGTGAAGTAATTTATACCTTACAAGAGGATTTTAGGGTATAGCTGCAGGGCCCAAACAGAATCTGCATTTCATCTTACAGGATATATAATTCAAAACCATCTTCATTCACTCTTTCAGAACCAGTTTTATCTGATATAAAGGGATAAAAGACCACGGAAAGCACTTGAAAAAGTTATAGCACCAGCTTAAAACAAAGAAATGCTGAAGCATGCATCATGTCCTCATAAAACACACGTTCAGGCTGTCATGGAACATCTGGATAGCTGGTCTTTAATTAAAGATTTTAGACACCAGGCAAGAAACTTGAAGAATGTGTGAACACTGCAAAATGACTTTCTCTGGCTTCTCCTGTACTGCGTATGCATATTAACATGTAAAAGGTATGCATTATGCAGTGACAATATGTCTTTAAACTACTGTTCAGTGTGGGGTAAAAAAAAAATGCTGAAAGAAATGAATACTTTTATTTAGCAATGATGCATTAAATTGATAAGAAGTGATGTAATAGCATAATGTTTCAAAATATTTATTATTTCAAATAAATGCTGTTCTTTTGCTATTCATCAAAGATTACTGGAAAAAAAAATCATGGTCTCCACAAAAAATTAAATAAAATAAAAAAATGAAGCAGCACAACTATTTTCAACACTGAGAATAATAAGAAATGTTTCTTGAGCAGCAAATCAGCATATTAGAATGATTTGTGAAGGATCATGTGACACTGAAGAGTGGAGTAATGATGCTGGGAATTCCGCTTTGCACCACAGCAATACATTACATTTTTAAATATATTCAAATAGAAGAGTTATTTTAATAGTAATATTTCACAATATTACTGTATTTGCTGTATTTTCAATCAAATAAATAGAGACTTCTTTCAAAAACATTTAAAAAAATTATGAATCATGACTGACCCCAAATTTAAATAGTGTGTATGACCAGCAAATCAGCATATTAGAATGATTTGTGAAGGATCATGTGACACTGAAGAGTGGAGTAATGATGCTGGGAATTCCGCTTTGCACCACAGCAATACATTACATTTTTAAATATATTCAAATAGAAGAGTTATTTTAATAGTAATATTTCACAATATTACTGTATTTGCTGTATTTTCAATCAAATAAATAGACTTCCTTCAAAAACATTAAAAAAAATTATGAATCATGACTGACCCCAAATTTAAATAGTGTGTATGACAGAAATACTAGCGAGTAGTATGCTAGTATGCGAAGTTCAGTTATACATTTTAAACAGCAGCATTCCAAATTGTTGCATTCTCACTGGCATTGCTGTCACATGACCTAGCAAGTTTCGGGAAAAAAAAAAAAAACGTGATTGTGCATTTTTAAATCCAATCTTGTGTAAATTTGTCTTAAAATTGAGTAACTTTTAAAATACTTCTTCCTACCCCAATAGGTAAACCATCCATGGGTTGATTTCCTTGAAAAGTTGATTTCTTTAAAAAAATAAAAAAATCCTTGATCTGATGACAGACGGGTGAAGGAGACCTGTTTGAAGTAGGCATTTCCATACAATTACCCAACAAATATGTTTATTAATATGAATATTACTTACGGGTCACACTGGTAGGTCAAGTTGCTGCAGTACATTGTTCTGGCTGTGTACTGTGCATTTCAGCCCATATTCCATGTATACAGAAAATGTACATATCATTTACAGCATATACTAAACATGACAAAAAGGGCAAGACAGCTTATGTAAAGTTTGCAGGACTCATGGTATTTGGTTATGCTTCTGCAGTGACACTAACCTTAGTATTTGGGGTTTCCTGTGTGCAGATAAAATCAGGAAGTTACCTGTTCAAGACCAGACGTTGCAGAGTTTACATAAGCCAGTCTGCACACCTGCACAGTCTGCTACTACTCAGAAATGCCGAGCTATTGTGCAACTACCCACGTGAGCTTTTAAAAACACTCCAAAGTATGTATATACTGTACTGTCTGCACCGATTCAGCATCAATATTTGATCGGTACACACAAAGAGACATCCACATTCACTGGCCGAAACAGACTCGCATGCTTTTAGTGCATAGCACACACTGTGTGTTTAAACAACCAGCAGTATGAATGCAATGAATGCTGGATAACTTCAATATGTAATCTGATTATGAATAGCAGAGGTTTAACAGTCACGGGCAGGTGATCCAACATCAAATTATAAATCTATTATTTTAGATTTATTTATGTATTGATTGGTTGATGGCCCTGTTTAATTTTTTACAATTAAATATTAATCCTAAACTGTAAGTGCAGAGACACATTTAGTGTGTTAAACAAGAGTAAAGCTGAATTATCTCACATTTATTGACATTTATCACATATGCATGTGCATCTGACAACACAGAGCACACATTCATCCCTTATTATCATGCATCCAGCCTCAGACACACACAGAGAGAGAGAGAGAGAGAGAGAGAGAGAGAGAGAGAGAGAGGGGCCATGCGAGTGGCGCAGCAGCACTTACGCAGATTGGACATCATCTGTGGAGGTGGGAGAACGCAAGCGCGCTACCGCAGCACGCAGGAGCTGAATGATCACCATGGCAACAACAGCATCAGCATCAGTACCAGCAGCAGAAGCAGAAGCAGAAGCAGCCGTGAGCCACTCATGCCTGTGTCAATACTGAGACCTGCTCCTGCTCTCAACACACACTCCCTCCCTCTCAACTTAATGACATAGGATCAAAGCGGGTGCACGGATCACGCCTCTGGGTTGTCGCACAAGCAGGTAAGGTGACGGATGTTTACGCTCTTTCTCTGTTATTCTTCATCCGTGTTTGGCTCACATTGACTGTGGACTTGCTTTTGACTGGTGTTTCCTAATGACGGTCTAGTCTGGTCTGGTCTTTAAACCGCTCTTAGATGGACAGGCAGGGAAATATTCCGTTATCCGGCATAAATCCCTGTTAGGAACATATTGGATGCATATTCTGCCAATGCAACGCTCCAGCCATCTGGCTCCATCAGAAAAGCACAGCACTGTATTTTTACATTGACAACAACACATTTGAAGCATGTGACATTGATGATGACTTGAGCAGTACGCCGTGTGCCGGACACCACGGTTGGGAATGATTTGATTTAGGTACATGTATAATAATTTGCTTTCTGTTCTGTTAGAGGGCTATGTCATTTGATGGGTCCGAAAGAGTTCAATCAAAACCTGAAGGAACTGTTTAGACATACGAGTCATGACAAGGATTTGCATGATGCATTTTTGTACTACGGTGAGGAAAAACATCTAGGACTTTGGTTTTCCTTCATGTATTTGGTGCAAAACTGACTGTAAACACCTCTTCAACCTCTCTGAGAGATTACATGTAATGAGGTGTTTCTAGCAGGGCTGAACTGACAAAAACAGCCTGCTGAAGACTCAAGAAACTCCAGCTTACAGGAGCTCACTAAAACCACTGGAATTTTACTCCGGAGTTATTCAGCATTAGCCAAATTCAGGTGTTCACCTTGAATGGGACAATTTCACTCTTAACGAACTCTTCTAAATGCATAATCCGAGCTGAAGAACTGGAATGGCGTGTATCTGTGAAGGTCAATAAATCTGACATTCACAGCGCCGTCTTGGCAAGCCGGGCTGCGGATCTATTTTTCAAATTACTTGTCTTGTGTAGATGAGGCTTAAGAATTCAGCTCATGGCATTTGACTCAGCCTGGCATTTAAAGGCGATGTAAAATCTGGAATAATCAGGACTGTTAATGAGCGCTGTGAATAATGTAGTTGGACCGTATAGATGGTGACATTCAAGTGCAAAGTAGCGAGTCCCGCAGGGGCCCGGACGCTTGCCGGCGTGTTTAACGGATGGGGCCTGGGCTTGCCGGAGGACACGAAATACCCCAGACGCCAGCGTGCACTAACTGATGTGGTAAAACAGCAGATTTTCCAGCAGACTTCCGATCGGCCAGGTCTGTCCACACTGCTCCAGGCGAAATGTACAGGATGATCTTGTGGGAATGCTGGGAGAAAAAAAAACAGCCAAGATTAGTCATTGTAGATGATCTAGAAAAAAAGCAACACAAAGTTCTAGAATACTCAGAGGACAGAATTTTTATGGCATTTTCATAAATAAACAATTAACCATATTTTAAAGGTTTTTGAACATTGCAATGAAGTTAAATGAATGCCTCTTTAGAAAGAAAGTCATTAATAGCATGACATGATAAAGCAGCAATCAATAAATCTCCGTAGCATTTTACAATAACGTTAACATTAATGCAGTAGATAGATACCATGAACTATCAATTAAGAATACTTTTAAAGCATTTCTTAATCTTGGTTAAAGTTCATTTCTGCATATATTGAATGTATCACAGTATTAAGCAGCACAACTGTTTTCAGCATTATTAATAACAATACATTTTTCTTGAGCAGCAAATCAGCATATTAGAATGATTTCTGAAGGATCATGTGACACTGAAGACTGAAGTTATGATGCTGAAAATTCAGCTTCGCATCACAGGAATAAATTACATTTTAAAATATATTCGAACAGAAGACTATAAATTCTAATAATATTTCACAATATTACTGTTTTTACTGTATTTTTATTTATTTTTTTAAACAAATGCAGCCTTGGTGAACATAAGAGACTTTCAAAAATATTTTACAAATATTAACTTTTGATCAGTGTCTATTTATAAATCATAAACGTTAACTAAGTAAATTGTTTATTGTTAGTTTATGATACCTATTTCTTAAGCATGTTAATAGATCAAACTTAAAATCTTACATTTCATTGAAATTAAGACATTTTATGGTTACAGACAAAAACAAATGAGGAGCTACAGGAATTGGTTTCACTTTTGCTGGGTAGTCGCACCAACAGAGAAATTTAAATATAGATAGCTGTACATTAAATACCATATACTGTACATTCAAATTGGCTTTGATTATGTCGTGCCATTCAGCAGTTGTTTTTCTTTCAGTGTGGTGAAACAACTTTACTTTTAGCTGGAAACATCATACCTGGTTAGGACACAGTGTTACACAAAGTGACCAGCAAAAATATCTTCCAAGTGTACTAACCAGTCACAACAACTGGACATTTTGTTGGTTGGTTGGTTGGCTTCTGTTTCTGCATTGTGCAAGATAACCACGCCCACAGTGACATTTCATTGGTCAATCCTTCTCCTCAATACTGCACATTAAACATCAAATAGTCTTAATGTTCTGATTTGCATCACACATTATTTTTACCCTAATTGATCAGATCTGATCTACAATTATCCATCTATCCATTCATTCATCCATCTGTTTATATGCACAGTAAGAATAATTTATATGTTCATGTATTTTTGGCTTTAGAGGTACAGTTGTTATTCTGTGCCCTGTGATCTAACGACAAACCAAACCTCTGTCATCTCACCCAACTTCACCCTGTCTTCTTTTGAGTTGTCACAGCCAGCTTACTTGGGAAAAAGAGTATGCTATTATTCCATACTATTATCTAGTCTACTATTTTGGAAAGAAAATAACAAGCGACTATAATATGTATATGAATACTGCAAAGCATGTGGACTTTCTGTATGCATGGAATATCTGGATAATCTACAAGTTTTGCCAAAATGTGCATATAGAGCACAATGCGTTAGATACTGTATCCCACAATGCAATGTGCCCAAGTGACCTTTCATTTTCAGTGTAATGAAAATTGGGTAACACTTTACTTGAAGGGGTATGCATAAGACTGACATGACACCTTCATAATCATGACATGACACATGTCATGAATATGAAGGTTTTTTATGCATGTTTATGACAACTGTCATTAAGTGTCATTCGCTCAGTTATGTCATTTTTAATGCAAATATGACATTATTTGACCTAACCCTAACCTAACACTACCCTTGCCCCTAACCATAGCCCATAACAAAGACATCTCAAACAATGTCATCTTTGCATTAAAAATTACATAATTCTCGCATTATGTTGGTGTCATGTCATGATTACGAAGGTATGGTCAGTCTTATGCACACCCCTTCAAGTAAAGTGTAACCGAAAATGGATGTCGTCCATGATTTTCAGTACTGAGTTTTTGATTTATTAGGTAATCGGTCTGCTAAACTTTTTGAATGAACATAAATTTGAATGAAAACACCTAATCATATTTTGAAAAGTTAATTGAATGTCTCATGGCGCTGTGAAATGCTTGATTCTGATTGGTCAGTTGTGACAATCCGAGGTCAGTTATTCCTAATAATGACCGTCGTCAATAGTAAAGCTGTCTAATGACCGCCAATATGAGGCCAACACTTTTTTTTTTACGGCTCCTGTATCACACAGTCTCTCATTTCATTCAAACGCAACAGGTGCCATCTTGCGCCTCAGTTATAGACTATTTTTTTAAAAGAAACCTGTAAACTGAAGATAATAAGATAATAAACAAGTATGTTTTTGAAATGCTTTCTTCTCAAATCAATATTTCACATCCCTGCCTTTATTAAAGTGGTAAAATGTTCTGTAATAAGTGGCATGACTGTACATAATCCATTAAATGCCTATCTCGTTTGAACTTGTTTGTTCATGCAGGCTCAAAACTGTTTGTTATATAGGAACTGTTTTTGTGTGCGTCTCGGATGTTTTTTGCAATAACAACCGGTTGGATGTACAGTACATCATTCCTTATTTGCTGAATTAAACATGCAGCATAAAGAGGTCATGTCACAACAACATAGCTTACTACTCTTTTGATGCTGATAACTATTATAAAAAATAGTAGGTGTTAGTGTAGTCTCATGCTAGACAGAGGTTTACCTGACTTTGACTTTTGCAATGTGTGTCTATTTCAAGACTGGTGAAGTTGATTTGAGCTGTAATTTAGAAAATAAAATAAATAAAACAATTATTTCAGTTCAGGGAATGTGCTGTATGTTGACAAACTACAGCATTAAATGTTCCAGTTCAACAGCATCATTCACTGCTGTTCCTTTACAAACCCAGCTGCATTGTGTCAGCTGATGTGTGCCATCTAAAATGTTGTTGGAGGTTTCCTGAGCAGAGTCAGCAGTTTTTTAAGCTTTTCTAGGCAGAATCAGTGAACTAGTTGTTGCATATTTGTCTTTCTTGCCATGGCCTTGTGGAGGCTAAGGTGAATTTGCTGTGGTTGGGTTTATTCCATATCAATTATATTCCTGCATTAGCTGAACATTTTTGGCATTGCGATTGGATTCATTTTTAAAGTACAAAAAGGTTGTACTGTATTAAAATACATTTTAAATAGATTAATAAAATATATAAAACTCATAAATATTGCAATAAGCTCTGAATGAACAGGAAAACACCTTTGAAGAAGGCAAAGGAGTATCTAAAATGAATGCAAGAAAGCTTGTGACTCACCAAACGACTTTCTCTCTCTTTGTGCGTGTGTGTGTGTGTGTTGATCGATTTCAGCCAAGACTCAAATGAGGGTTGAAGCCAATGTCACTTCCTGTCTGACAACCAGTTCTGGTGAAAAATAATTTTGACACATTTGTTTTTTGACAATCAATTCATTATAGCAGAAAAATAAAGTATTAATTCATTACAGGAAAACACCTTTGAAGAAGGCAAAGGAGTATCTAAAATGAATGCAAGAAAGCTTGTGACTCACCAAACGACTTTCTCTCTCTTTGTGCGTGTGTGTGTGTGTGTGTTGATCGATTTCAGCCAAGACTCAAATGAGGGTTGAAGCCAATGTCACTTCCTGTCTGACAACCAGTTCTGGTGAAAAATAATTTTGACACATTTGTTTTTTGACAATCAATTCATTATAGCAGAAAAATAAAGTATTCATTCATTCATTCATTCATACATAATTATTATTTGTAATTATAAGTGTGCGTGTGTGTGTGTGTGTGTGTGTGTGTGTGTGTACTGTATAAGGGTTGTCAAATCGATTAATCACATCCAAAATAAAGGTTTGTGTTTACATAAATATACAAAGCACACACACACTTATGTTATGTATATATAAATAAACACACACACACACACACACATGGATATATTTGAGATATTATATATATATAATACACACACACACACACACACAGACAGACGGACACAACCTGACAGGCCCATAAGGCTCTTCACTCTTGCCAGAATGAAATCATAGATCACTCACAGCAAGCCCACGGCGTGCAGAATTGATCAAGCAAGTGTCTTCAGTCAGCAATAGATTTATGATTGCACACAAGCACCCACTGTTGCACAAAAAATATTGAATATTGCTGGAAGTGAACTCTGGGAAATGTGGGTTACATGTCCATCATTTTTTTGCGGATCTCTGAGAATATTAAAGGTGTCCGGTAATTCAGTCCCACTGTAATACATTCAACTGAACACTTCACAGTCCAAACACACCGAGAGATTCATTTCGCAGACTTCCTTTGCAAACAAGTTTTTTAACAGCAGTTTAAAGTCCGGCAACATCCACTGTGTGTGATTACTGCCTGTAAAGGAAGTAGTGACCTCAGTTAAACCAATATTGTTTAAATCATGTCATACCATTCCGCTATCTAAATCTAATTACAAGAGTAAATCTTACATATATGAATCTTGTCGCATGAATCAATCAAGCAGATTAGTCAGGTTCCTAGGTCCTTTCACAAACTTTATTTGATTACATTTATTTTACGTTTTATGTTTATGTTATGTTTCTTTCTATATTTATTAACTGAGCAGATTTATAAAAAAAATGAATAGCATAAAACAGAATTACTGTCTAAATCTAATGAGACCAATAATTATATGAAGAAATATTTTATATTCTGTTTAAAATGTACCTAACCAACTTCATATTATTCTGTTGTGTTCTATTTTACGTTGAATTTATTTATTCAGCAGATGCATTTTCCCAAAGCAATGCTATATTATTCAATTATATTCCATATTTCTTTAGCAAATGCATTTACCCAAAGCAACTTTATATTATTCTAATCTGTTTATTTTAACTATATTTATAAATTAGGTCCATTTGCCTAAAGCAACTTCATCAACTTCAGCAACTTTAGCAGATGCTAAATTAAGAACATATTATAATAACACTATAGTAGCATTTTATTCTATATTTATTTATTTAGCAGACTAACTTACACACAGCAACTTTGTATTGTTCTATTATGTCCTATTTTATTCTATATTCATTTACTTAGAACAGCATGCAATTGACTTTTTATTTATAAAAAGTACCTCAATATAGCGTTTTATTTTACAGGAAAGATAAGGGGTCAGTTTAGCAGATGCATTTAAACAAATTATCTTTTTATTATTCTGTTATGTTATATTTATTCTATATTTATTTATTTAGGAAATGCATTTACTTAAAGCAACTTTTTAATATTCTATTTTATTCTATATTTACTTAGCATATGCATTTACATATAGCAACTTGACATTATTTTATTACTTTATTTCATTCTATGTTCATTGACTAGACGTATTTACCTAAAGCAACTTGTTATTCTAATATATTTTATATTTATTAATTTAGCAGATGCATTTACACAAATCAACTTTATATTATTATATTATGTTCTATTTGATTCTATATTAATTTATTTACTACATGCATTTACCTAAAGCAATTGCATGTTATTCTACTAAAATCTATATTTATTCAGCAGATCCTTTTACACAAAGCACCTTTATATAATTCTGTTATGTTTTATTTTATTCTATATTCATTTATTTACTAGATGCATTTACCTTTTCTATTCTATATTTATTAAGTTAGCTGATACATTGATCCAAATCAACTTTTTAATATTCCATTTTATTGTGTGCATATTGCAACTTCATATTGTTCTATTTCATCTATATTTATTTACTTATTAGATGCATTTACCTAAAGCTACTTCATGTTATTCTACTATATTCTATATTCATTAATTTAGCAGGTGCATTTACCTAAAGCAACTTAATTATATTCTATTATGTTCTATTTTTATCAATACAAAAGTCCTTCTATACTGCACGAGTATTGCATGTTTCAAATTAATCACCAGTACCCATAATGCCCTCTGCTTCTGCTCCAGCAGCTGCAGAGGTCAGTGTTCTCTGGCCCGTCTTGGACAGGCTCTCAGGCTACTGAATGGGGCAGTGAAGCCAACACGGTGGAACATTGTGTCAGTTAACGCAAGGGCAGCGTTTCAAAGGAAACATATTTTTTCATTTCTCAGCATCAGCTGCCAGAGGAAGGTGACTGCAGCTCCAGAGCTGTTAACCTTTAGCCGGCATACCGAGACCGAGCACTAAACCACTAATAATAGCCATCTAATGCTACACCACACTCGTTCAGATCCCGCCTCTTTATTGCTTCCTTTTTCCACTCCCTCTGTAATGTCTGATGGAACGCCATTCTTATCAATATTTCATCACTGCTACCAGAAACATTTTGTGCTCCCCATTCACATCGGACGGTGACGCTCCTGTAGCTTTCCTCACTACGGCTTATGCGGTTTTGAAACATTTTAATCCTCTCTGTTTATTAATAGGAAGCCGTCACATGACGCTGCACCCACTGCTACATGAGAGGATGCAAAACAGGGAGTCGTGTTATGATTGAGCTTTTGGAATTCCTCCGTAAATACTGTTAGGTATATTCATTTGATGCATTTTTCTACCTTACTACAGTACAGAAGAACTACAAGAAGTGAACAGTGTTTGAAAATGGTCTTTCTCTGTTTGTCTAAACATCTAGCTGACATCTCTCTAAGCCAATGGTGTGAGTTTGGGGCGAGACTACTGTTTGTTTAATCAACGGCAAACAGAAATAGTGTTCAGGATACCAGTTTGATTTTATTCTGGTCATTATTTTTACAAATTGTGATGCTAGAGGCTCGAAAACGAATCACTTCAGCTTCAAAAAGTAAGTGAAACAGTATCGGATATAAAATGAAAAAGATTTCAAATGGTTTAGGCTAAACCCCTCTACATCTACTGTAAGCTTCAATGAAAACTTTGCCCTTGTTGAGTTCACCTGAGCTGGACAATAATGTTGTATAATACACTTGGATAATAAGGGTTGTTGCATGCCTGCTTGGCCGTTGCCACTGATTTTCTTGCTCACCTGCAATATCTATTTTGTCCATCTGATATCTACTTTGGCAAACATATTAAACGTTTAAACCTGTAGTCATGTGACAGGTCTGTTGATCATGTGACTTTCGTGGATATATTTGCCAGAGTTATTGGAAGGTGTTTGGATAGACACCGAAACGTCTTGTTGATTTTGTTTTATATAGTTCAGTGATTTTAATAAATACATTTTTTTAACGTTTTGATTACCTGGATGATTTAGTTATGAATCTACACATCAGATCCAGGAAGTTCTGCTTCTTTGCGCCCCGCTGATGGGACGTCCTTAAAACTGCAGACTCACTGGCTATATGGCAGTTCAGTTTCTAGACAGAAAAATGCCTTGACGTATCTTCATTAAACTGCTGGAAAAGAAAATGATAGATAAGTCAACCAAAAATGAACATATGCTTACTAGTCAAATATAAGTACTAGAATTGTTTCCAATCAATGCATACATTATATGATTATATGACAGCTAATTTTATAAGTCTATACATTTTTGTCTGAAGTTTTAAATAAATATTTTTTAGTAAGCTCTAATCTAGAGTTTTTTTTTCCCTTTCTTTACGTCATTGTAAGAATTGAAAATATAGATGACAGTTCAGTTCTTGTAACATGGCAATTATTCTGATATCATCTTTTTTCCAATATCAGGCGAATCAGACAGATACAGAGAAGACAAAAAATAAAGCCAATGTTTCCCCTAGGAGTTTTTGCACTGCAACATTATTTTCAGGTTAATTAAGCACATTTTACCCCTCATTTCTCATTACAATAATGAGTCTGATATTGCCTATCTCAGCATTTTTAATGATGATTCTCATTGCTGTAATACACTCTTTTCTTTATTACAGAAGAAATATTGTTTTCCTATTTTTTCAATTATTTTTGAATGAAAGAAAGGCAGCATAATAAATGCTGCCATAATGCATACAGTAATATTTTTCAATGTAACAGGAATGGGGGGTGGGTGGGATGTATGGAAGCCTGTTTCTGCCACCGAATAAAAAAAAAAAAAGGTTATTGCGACTTTTTATCTCACAATTCTGACTTTTTTTTCCACAGAATTGTGAGTTATAAACTCACAATTGCGAGTTATAAAGTCAGAATTGGATGATATAAACTCACAATTGCGAGTTATAAAGTCAAAATTGCATGATATAAACTCACAATTGCGAGTTATAAAGTCAGAATTGGATGATATAAACTCACAATTGCGAGTTATAAAGTCAAAATTGCATGATATAAACTCACAATTGCGAGTTATAAAGTCAGAATTGCAAGATAAAAACTCGTAATTCTGACTTTTATTCTCGCAATTGCGAGTATATACAGTATCTTACAATTCTGAGAAATAAAGTCAGAATTGTGAGATATAAACAGTCAGAATTCTGACTTTTTTCTCACAGTTCTGACTTTATTTCTCAGAATTGCACGTTTATGGTATATATCACAATTATGACTTTTTAACTCGCAATTGCGAGTTTGTGTCACGCAGTTCGGTGAAAAAAAGTTAGAATTGTGAGATAAAAAGTCGCAATTACCTTTTTTATTTTTTATTCAGTGGCAGAAACGGGCTTCCATAGTGATGTGCTTTATTGTCCTGAAAATACACAATAAAACTTCAAATTATATAATACATTTTGGAACAGATTGACACTTATTACTCTGAAAACTGGACATTGATATTGGATGATGGCCTAGTCATTATATCTGTTTTTTACTACAATAAAGACAATTGGAAAGAGAATGAGTAATAAAGATAATGAAGGACAAACAAACAGAGAAAGAGACAGAAAGATAAACTTGAGTGAAAATGTGAATGCTAATAATTAATGCGGAGTGTTGCTCTCTAAAACACACTGCTTCTTTCTCATAAAGCCAGTCTGGAAAAGAAAATATCCAATCAGATTCCAGCCATTCCTCTCATGTCACAAGCACTCACAAGGACTCACACCACAACCTGTTGTGTGGGAAGAAGCCATTGATATGATTACTGCCACACACACACACACACACACACACACACACAGGTTCAGCCTGAGCTGCGGCGTCTCTTAGACGGATGGTGTCATAAGTATGATTTGGGATCACGTCCAGAAATGCCACTGCTGCCATCTGTCTTGGAGCTGCGCGATGTACATTCGTTTGCCACAGAGCGGCACATCGGGTTCTCAGAACAAATATTGTCTGGGATGAGTCACAGCCTGAGTAATTAGAGATGGCGTCTCCCTGAGTCACACATGTGCGTCCGGCTCTTGAGTCACTGGATTGTGTTCATTTGGGTTACCACGGTAAACACACTCCCTCACAATGGGCAAACGGCTCGGCTGACAATGGAACAGCAACATAGAGAGTCCTGCAAGAGAAATGCATTCTGAGTTAGATAGCAAGACAATGCAAGTCTTGATGTGTTCAGCTGCAAATGAACATTTCTCTGTCTCTCTAGGTGATGGAATAGATGATGTCGGAAGTACAGGGCACTGTGGAGTTCTCGCTGGAGCTGCACAAGTTTCACAATGTGGATCTCTTCCAGAGAGGGTAAGTCTGTATTCTTCTGTACGTCTAATGAAGGCTCTGTTAAGTGTCCGGTCTCTAAACAACCAGTTCGGGAAGAGCACATGGTGACAGCATCACGCATAAACACTAAGAGCCACTTTGAATCAGTTTAATTGTCACATTCCAGGCATTTTTCCATGTTCTTTTTGGATGCAGTGAATAGTCAGCTTTGTGTGGCATTCATTTTGTGTCATGCGGCACAAACACCAGAGCTGGAAATCAAAACTAGAGTTTTGGTATATGTCTCATTATGCTAACAGCTAGTGTAGTCTTAAAAGCTGACAATATTAACTTTTAGGAGATATATGCATTTTCTCTAATGGGAAATTTTTTAAGATGTTTTTTAAAGGGATAGTTCACCAGTCATCCTTTACTCACTCTCATGTCGTTCCAAACCTGTATGAGTTGCTTTCTTATGTTGAACATAAAAGAAGATATTTTGAAGATTGCTGGTAATCAAACAGTTGGTGGTTGCCATTGACTTCCATAGAGGGTGAGTAAATGATGACAGAATTTTCATTTTTGGGTGAACTATCCCTTTAATGTTTTTGAAGGACATCTCTTCTGTTAACCAAGGTTGCATTTATTTGATCAAAAATGCAGTAAGATCACTAACATTGTAAAATATTATTACTATTAAAATTGCTATTTTCTATTAGAATACATGTGAATGCTAATAATTAATGCGGAGTGTTGCTCTCTAAAACACACTGCTTCTTTCTCATAAAGCCAGTCTGGAAAAGAAAATATCCAATCAGATTCCAGCCATTCCTCTCATGTCACAAGCACTCACAAGGACTCACACCACAACCTGTTGTGTGGGAAGAAGCCATTGATATGATTACTGCCACACACACACACACACACACACACACACACACACACAGGTTCAGCCTGAGCTGCGGCGTCTCTTAGACGGATGGTGTCATAAGTATGATTTGGGATCACGTCCAGAAATGCCACTGCTGCCATCTGTCTTGGAGCTGCGCGATGTACATTCGTTTGCCACAGAGCGGCACATCGGGTTCTCAGAACAAATATTGTCTGGGATGAGTCACAGCCTGAGTAATTAGAGATGGCGTCTCCCTGAGTCACACATGTGCGTCCGGCTCTTGAGTCACTGGATTGTGTTCATTTGGGTTACCACGGTAAACACACTCCCTCACAATGGGCAAACGGCTCGGCTGACAATGGAACAGCAACATAGAGAGTCCTGCAAGAGAAATGCATTCTGAGTTAGATAGCAAGACAATGCAAGTCTTGATGTGTTCAGCTGCAAATGAACATTTCTCTGTCTCTCTAGGTGATGGAATAGATGATGTCGGAAGTACAGGGCACTGTGGAGTTCTCGCTGGAGCTGCACAAGTTTCACAATGTGGATCTCTTCCAGAGAGGGTAAGTCTGTATTCTTCTGTACGTCTAATGAAGGCTCTGTTAAGTGTCCGGTCTCTAAACAACCAGTTCGGGAAGAGCACATGGTGACAGCATCACGCATAAACACTAAGAGCCACTTTGAATCAGTTTAATTGTCACATTCCAGGCATTTTTCCATGTTCTTTTTGGATGCAGTGAATAGTCAGCTTTGTGTGGCATTCATTTTGTGTCATGCGGCACAAACACCAGAGCTGGAAATCAAAACTAGAGTTTTGGTATATGTCTCATTATGCTAACAGCTAGTGTAGTCTTAAAAGCTGACAATATTAACTTTTAGGAGATATATGCATTTTCTCTAATGGGAAATTTTTTAGGATGTTTTTTAAAGGGATAGTTCACCAGTCATCCTTTACTCACTCTCATGTCGTTCCAAACCTGTATGAGTTGCTTTCTTATGTTGAACATAAAAGAAGATATTTTGAAGATTGCTGGTAATCAAACAGTTGGTGGTTGCCATTGACTTCCATAGAGGGTGAGTAAATGATGACAGAATTTTCATTTTTGGGTGAACTATCCCTTTAATGTTTTTGAAGGACATCTCTTCTGTTAACCAAGGTTGCATTTATTTGATCAAAAATGCAGTAAGATCACTAACATTGTAAAATATTATTACTATTAAAATTGCTATTTTCTATTAGAATACATTTTAAAATGTAATTTATTCCTGTGATGCAAAGCCGAATTTTCAGTATCATTACTTCAGTCTTCAGTGTCACATGATCATTCAGAAATAATTTTAATATGCTGATTTGCTGCTCAAAGAAACATTTCTTATTATTATAAATGATGAAAACAGCTGTGGTGCTTAATATTTTTCTGGAAACTTATAATTATGCTTTATGATTATAAAGTTCAAAAGAACAGCTTTTGTAACATTATACATGTCTATACTGCCACTTATTATCAATTTAATGTATTATTAAAGTATTAATGTAATGCAATAAGTTTACAGGAAAAGAAAACGGTGCTTCTCGTGCAATATCATAGAGTTTTTAAAGGTGAAGCATGTGTGATTTCTGAGCCATTAGTGGTAACAAACTAAATTTGTAATCTGTTTGAGCAGTCTGATTGGCTCAGACATATTCACCCAACCAATGGTGTGAATTTGGGGTGGGGCTATCAGTTTGACCAATAGCAGACAATCATTTTATTTGAAAACAATATATTTGGTACCTCCAGTGGTGCAAAAAATGACATACTTTTCTAAATGTGGATCTTACACCTATTTTAGGATCACCTGTATACATGTTTAATCTAAAAAATTAAAATAAAAAAAACCTTCTATAACTGGCAATATTCCCTTTATCATAGGCACATACATATGCACAAATACAAGCTATTCCTTGAGGAGAGAATATTTATTTCTAATTAAATAAGGACATTTACACATTTGCTTAATGCTAATTACTTTGAAAACAACCATAACCACCATACCAGTGTCAATGCAACCACTCTAACTCTCAGCTTCCACTATAATCAAAACAGTTGTCAATGCTGCAAATGTCTAAAGTCGTGTTGTGTGCATTGTGGACAACTTCACTGACTGTAACAGGAGTTATCTTTGGGTTCCGGTGCATCGCTTGCTTGTGTTGATTGGGTGTTAAACAGTGTTTTCATTTACATCTCCCTGCTAAGACCATGCGATGTCACATGAAGGTGTTTGTTTCAGTAGACTGGTAGAATAATGATTGATTTTTGCTTGCGTTGTACATTATGTTCCTGTCATTGGTTCAAGCCAAATCAATTACAGTCAGCAGGTGAAGTCTACAGGGAATGCAATGACTTTTCAGGTCACTGATTTTTAACTATGCAGGATACAGGGATCTGACTAGGAACTCATTTGAGATTCAGGGACAAAACTGTGCTTCCATGACCTTTATGATTCCGTGACTAGAGTTCTGCTGCCACGAGTTTGGTGCTAGTCCAGTGGTTGACATTCAATAACATTGGCATGTTATGTGCACACTACCATTCAAAAGTTTGGGATTGATCACTTTTGATGAATATAATGCATTCTTGCTGAATAAAAGTTTGTTTTAAAAAAAATCTTACTGAATGGTAATATATGTAAATATACATTACTAAATATAAAACACATTAAATATATACACTAAATATATACACTAAATATATATTAATAATTAGTGTACTTTTTAGTGTTAGTTAGAACTTTTTAGTTAGTGTACAAAAAGGTGATAAAAAGGGTCAATTACAGGATTTTACATGGATACTTTCCATTATACTTTATCTAAAAATTAACCATCTTAAGGTTGATTGAAAAAAAAAAACAACAACTGTCAACTACCAATTTAAAGACAACATAAAAACATATTTTTTCCTATTTACCGTATTTAATAAATGCTCCTGTTTTTATTGTAAACAAATTTTGGAGACATTTTATGGAGGCAAATAAAAAATGCTATTAATCATAATTAAGGTCAATAGTGAGTGTTAACAGTACATTGGCATTTAATTTCACAACAACATAATTTTATAACACAAAAGGATTGGAGATTAAAGTTCTCGTTGTCTTGAAGAACCAGGTAGTGCTAACGCAAAGGTTGCAAGTTCAATCCCAAGGGTGATCAATAAAGTTTCTGAAAAAAGCAAGTCTATAAAGCTAGAAACACTATAGAGACTCCCAAGGCACATTTACTGTAGACACCTGTCTGTCAGCAGATCTAATACAGTATTACCTCTCTATCCTCCACTGTTCTCCTGACAGCTGTGTGAAGCAGAGGTTGCAATGGAGTAGAGGTCCAGCCCGTCTGGATGTTTTTCAGCTCAGCCCGTCTGCTCTGAGATTAAAGCAAGGCCATTGGCTGAAACATCAGCTTTGCAGAGATTTGACTGGCCCTTCCCCCATCCATAAAGCAGAAAGCTCTTGTCTGAAATAATCCCCACAAGACACACACTGCTCTCTAATATACTGTTTGTTTTTAACAGCCCATGTATGTAGTTCCTACGGTGGACGAGAGAGCTCAACGTGCTGCAACTTCAGAAAACACATGCAAATAGACAAAAATCATCTTCACCAGTTTGACAGAACATGTGCTGCAAATACTCGCAACACAACCAAATACAAAAACACGCTGCAAATACTCACAACACAAACAAATAAAGAAACAAGCTGCAAAAACAGAAACGCGCTGCAAATGCTCACAACACAAACAAATAAAGAAACAAGCTGCAAAAACAGAAACGCGCTGCAAATGCTCACAACACAAACAAATAAAGAAACGCGCTGCAAATTTGTTTCTTTACAAACAAATAAAGAAACGCGCTGCAAATACTCACAACACAACCGAATAAAGGAAGCTGCAAATACTCACAACACAAACAAATAAAGAAATGCACTGCAAATACTCACAACACAACCGAATAAAGAAACACGCTGCAAATGCTCACAACACAAACAAATAAAGAAACGCGCTGCAAATACTCACAACACAAACAAATAAAGAAAGCACTGCAAATGTTCACAACATAAACAAATAAAGAAATGTGCTGCTAATACTCACAACACAAACAAATAAAGAAACGCGTTGCAAATACTCACAACACAAAGAAATGCAGAAATGTGCTGCAAATACTCACAACACAAACAAATAAAGAAACGCGCTGCAAATGCTCACAACACAAACAAATAAAGAAACGCGCTGCAAATACTCACAACACAACCGAATAAAGAAACACGCTGCAAATGCTCACAACACAAACAAATAAAGAAACGCGCTGCAAATACTCACAACACAAACAAATAAAGAAATGCACTGCAAATGCTCACAACACAAAAAAATAAAGAAACACGCTGCAAATGCTCACAACACAAACAAATAAAGAAACAAGCTGCAAATGCTCACAACACAAACAAATAAAGAAAAGCTGCAAATACTCACAACACAAACAAATGCACTGCAAATACTCACAACACAAATAAAGAAAGAAAGGCGCTGCAAATGCTCACAACACAAACAAATAAAGAAAGCGCTGCAAATACTCACAACACAAACAAATGCACTGCAAATGCTCACAACACAAACAAATAAAGAAAGCGCTGCAAATACTCACAACACAAACAAATAAAGAATCTGTTTGGGAATGAAGGACTCGCTGGGCAGTGGTTCCTCTGGTGTTTGTGGTATTGGTTTGAAGAATGTGTGTGGATTTGGTGAAACAGAAAATAACAAATCTATGCAGATTTCTCTTAATCAACAAATCACTGACATATGACATCTCACTTAAGCACAAATGTGCACTAGTTGAAAATGCAAATTCAATGACCAGAAGAGGAATTATTATTCTGTCATCATTTACTCACCATCATGTTGTTCCAAACCGTTTTATTCTGTGGAACAGAAAAAAAGTAATTTCAAAACAGTTTTCCATTAAATTGAACTGACAAGCTTTCAAGCTTTTAAAAGGACACAAAAGTAGTCCAAACGACTAACTATATTTTGTTCACACAAAAATGAAAATCCTGTCTCCATTGACTAACACAGTATGGAAAAAAGAAGAAGAAGAAAAGAAAAAGTAAAAAGCAGTGGAAGTCAATGGGGACAATCAACTGTTTGGCTACGCATATTGCTTCAAAATCTTTTTTTTTTTTTTATGTTCAGAGAAACTCATACAAGGCTATGATTTAATAAGTTGTGTGATTTTTTTTTTCTTTCTTCCTCAAGCCATGTTCAGGGCTCTGTACTTTTATGAGGAACAAACCAAAAATGTAAATTAATATGTGTTAAATAAATTTGCTGAATTTAATTTAACTGTGTTCGGAATCCATTTGCACTGACTTTGTTGCATTAACTAAAACTGTATGAGTGGATTTTTAGTTCCCAGCATGCTTTGCAGAGTGCTGAACTGGGAGAGTAGATGTTGTAATTTCATGCATTTTTGAGTAAAGGGAAATACATGAAAATAAACAAGAAAATACTATTTCAGTCATTCTACTTTAAAATGTCACCTTTAGTTCAATGTTACTTGCTGTTTCTTTGTAATTCATTGTGGAATTTACTAGCAATTTCTGAGTGAAAACTGTTTCTAAATAAAAGAAAATGTATTTTAAGTAAAATTTAAGTAAAATTAACATAGTGAATAAATATGATATTCTCAATATTTTATTGTTATTGCTTGCCACTGCACTGGCATTAACACAGCTATGCTCACTGAATGAATTATCAAACACCACAGTCATCATCTAACCATCTTACAACCAAACCACAAACTCTACTCTCCAGCACTATGTTTACCCCAAAAACTTAAACAATAGCAAAACACCATAAGTAGTTTTTTATTCAGCGGCGATCTCATGCATTTCAGACTTTTGTAGCTTGTTCAGGCTGTATACTTGTTTAACATGTGCATCAGACATTTTAACAGGTGTGATATCATTTGTAGCTTGTGCTTCAGCATACGGACATTTTAACATGCAGTATAAACAGTTTACCACAAGCTACAGCGCGTATCATGCAGTTGATTTGTTTTAGGATGTGATCAAACCGTCTGTTGACGGTTCAGTGTGAATTGCAGTCGTGTTTAGTATGTGCTCTAGATGTGGTGAAGCTTGTGGATGTTGTAAATACGTTTTGATGTGTAATGTAGACATATTTAGCATGTACTGTCAACATACTGTAGATGTTCTTGTCGAGCTCAGGATGCCCCGACTTCATCTCCAGGGAGCTGCAGCATGATATGTGGAGTGCTTCAACATTTGACATGCAACTGCACTCACTTCACTGGCAAAGGTGACCTTTGTACAATCCCCCTGATGGAGTCTGGGCTGTCTGAACATGCCAACTAAGCTTTAACATTACTTCACCATCATTATTTATGATTTAATAGAGATTCACTGCATAAAATCTCACACTGACCAGATCAACGGCTGTTTATCGTGATCTTGATCAGTGTAAGTGGTATAGGAACATGCATTATATCCATTATTTATTGCCATTTTGTCCTGAAGGGATTAATAATTCAGGTACATTTGAAGAGGACTTTACCGGTATGGCTGGGCAAAAAAAGTATTTTTATTAGGTTTGGTGGTGTATATAGAGTTCAAATGACCAGATTTCAGAAACATTGATTGTATAAATGGATATGAAATTGAACAAATATGTTCCATCTGTAATGTGTTCGGTCACCTGCAGTAAATGATATGAATGATCATTTTTAAGTGAACTATTGCTTTACACTCACCTAGTTAAAAGAAACAGTTCAGCCAAAAATGGCCTCCAAAAATGAGAGAAGCCAGTTAAAAGGACAGTTCACCAATAAATGCAAATGCTGTTAATTTACTGACTCTCAGGTCAGCCAAGATGTAGGTGAATTATTTTCTTCAGTAGAACAGTAAAGAAGAATTTTAGCTGAAACCGTGGTCCTAGGTGATTCATATAATGCGAGTCAGCAGTTAAGAAAAGCATATCAAGAAACACAAAATTAATACCCATGGCGCCTGACATTTACATTTACATTTAGTCATTTAGCAGACGCTTTTATCCAAAGCGACTTACAATTGGGGGATACATAAAGCGATTCTTCTTAAAGAGGCAAACAGACACAAGAAGTGGTTGTAATACCAAGTTCTTAGACATTGTTCAAATAAGTACAAGCTAGAAAGAGAAGGAATAAATAAAGAGAGA